CCCGCCCCGGCCGCGTTCCTCCCTTGGCCCCGGGCCGGGCGCCGAGGGGGCCGACGGGGCTGAGCCAGAAGCGGCTTCCCGCGCGCAGGCGGGGCGCACGCCTCCCTCGAGTCTGGTTCCCGGCCAGACGCCGAGCTGGGCACGGGGATGCGGCCCTCCCGGGGCGCGGCCCCTGGACGACCCTCGCGCAAGCGAAGACGCCAGCGTGTGGGCCGAGTGCCAGAGGGCTGGGGCCCGAAGAGCAGGGCCGGACGTGGGTCCTGCGGGGCTGGGCGCACGTTGACACAGAGCGTCCTCACTGGGCGCCGTCCCGCCCCGGGTGACGGGCCCAACGGAGGTCCACCCCGCGCCGTCACGCCAGGTGCACGCCGCAGGCCGGCACGTGCGCCCCCGGGATCCAAAATCAAATGTGGACGGGGATGGCCACGGAGGCGGGAGCGAAGGGGATGACAGCCAGCCACGCTGGCGTCTGGAGAGACAGCGCTCGCGGGTCCCGGCCCTGAGATGTTCCCGTGATTTCTTTGCGACTCGCAGGTGCCGTGTTCGGCGGGAATCACGCCTTTCCATCTCAAGGATGAGGAAACCGCAGCTTGGAAGGTGAAGTGACGCCCAGGGCCACGCGCTAGTGAGCCGGGAGCTTGCCTTCAAGCTCAGGAAGCCAGGGCCTCGGAGCCGGAGCCTTTCTCGTCGCCCCAGCTACGAACGAACTGTCTGACGTGGATACCTTTTGTGGAGGAATTTGAGGAGGCCGGATTGAGCCGGCAGCAACTGGGTAAATCGAGGAAGAAATCCCAGGATGAGATTTTACAAATGCTACAAAGAGACTTACCGATAACAGCAAAGAGCTATAAAAACTGGTTGGCCAGCTATAAAACATTTGCTGTTAGTTCCCAGTAAACAAAAGGCAGTTAACGATTGCTGTTAACTAGCCTTATCTTAAAGAAACCCAATACCACCATCATTCAGCTACTTCAGAACCTCTGGAAATTTCCTTTTGCAGACCACCCCCAAAGACAGTTCCCACAGTCCACACTGGCCCCTCTTATAAAAACACCCCTCTAGCCCTGCCTCTTTGCAGACAGCAGACACTCTCTCTGCTGTTTGGCGGGTTGTGCCCTTCACAACTTATCTTCCTTTAATAAATCTACCTTTCTTAATTCATATTGTTTTGGTGAATACATTCCCACCCGGCGACTCTGGCCATACCATGCTATACCCAGCCTACCACACACAGTACCTGTCTTCTGGCCCTTTTCCTACTAGGCCTCCCAAAGTGTTGGGGTTACAAGCTTGAGTCCCCACACCTTGACTATTACTTATATTTTAAAGTTTAGCCTATACTGTCTATCTTAACTCCTCCATAAGCAAAATATTAATTGGTATTCAATTTATTCACAGGTCCTAGCATGAGGTCTTGCACCCAGTGGACATTTAATGAGTGTATTTTTATTGTTGTTAATAAATTAATTAGCAAGAACACAGCTTCACCGTCTCTTAATTTTGTCTTTTCATTCCAAGATAACTTTCAAGCTTACAGAAATTCAACAATAGGACTGAGTTATAAGTAGCTATAGATGCTGTCAATATAAATTGACAAAAGTTTGCCTTGAGGTAAGTTCTCTTTGCCCTAATTTAAGATTGGGAAACTGAGGCTGTAGAGTAACTTCCTTAAGGCCACAATAAGAGTCATTGATACAGCCAGGAATGAAACCCAGGACTGTTTGACTCCAGAATGCATTTTCTTCACCACAAGCTCATACTTCCTCTCATTCAATCATTCCTTCATTCACTGTTGATCTTTCAACTACAAACATTTGCTCAGCTCTGCACTGGGAACAAGGAAGGCAGCAATGATTGAAACACAGTTCTTGCCCTTAAAATTGTTCACAGTCCTATAGTAGAGACAAACAGGGCAGGACCTCATCAAAATGTGGTGTGACAAACCTTATACAAGAGATTCGTGGAGGCCTTAAAGGAGCATTTGGTTTTCCCTTCGGGGACGGGAAGTAAGAGAGGAGAAGATAGAATATAGCTTTCATTTTGAAGGTTGTATAGTCATTTGTTACCACGATCGTGAAGAAAAGCATGTGGTAGACTGAGGGAAGGCCACTAGCAAAAACGAAGGAAGCACGGGTGAACAGTGTGACAATGGAGGAGGACCGCAGCGGGGTGACAGCGCCGTTGAGAGGAGGCTAGAAAGGAACGCAGAACCAGACCCCGAGGTTCATGGAGTAGCTTCATGGAGTCCCTTACCCCCCCAAACAGTAGGAACATTCATGGAGGCTATGTATGTCAACTCTTCAGGGGAGAGGTTCCACTGCTTCAGTCCTGTTCTCACACAGGCTGACTGGCCGAGGACGGGCACGTGGGAAGGTCACTTTCCTTCCCACAGTCTGCCACCGGCCCGTGGACCCACAATGAACCCCAGGGAATCACAACGTCGGTCAGGATATGCCGGATACCTGGATTGGGGTTGGGGGCGAGCCTCACTCCTGCCAAATAACCTCGAATGCGCATGGTATGGCACCGGCACTCATGTTCCCTGTAAGGGTGGAAGGGGGTGGCCAGGAGGCCAGGAGGGAGGGAGGTGGCAGCTAAGAATGCATCCCAGGAAGGCAGCAGAAAGCAGGACCACCGTGAGCCAGGACTCCATGCCCTCAGTGCCTGCTCCATTGCCCATCTGACGTCACTTATGGCTGTGGGCTGAAGGGTGTTCCCCCAGATTCTTATGTCCTGAATGTGACTGTATTTGAAGTATATTGGAGTCTTACAGGAAGAAGAGATTAGGGGACACAGACCCCAGAAGAAGCATGTGAAGAGGGTGGCCACCTGCAAGCCAAGAAGAGACACCTGGAACAGATCCTTCCCTTATGTCCTCAGGGGAGGACAACCCTTCTGCCGTCTCGCTCTTAGACATCCAGTCTCCAGAATTGTGAGCAATTTCTTTGGTTTAAACCACCCAATCTGTGGCATATCGTTATGGCCGTCAGAGCAGACTAACAGACTTAGAGAACACCAATTCACAGTTCAAAGACAAAGTTTTAAAGACTCCAAGACGGTGACCGCAGAGCATTCAGTCCCAAGGGAGGGGCCCTTCTAGGCCTGGAGTCTTTGCCACTGCACCGGTCATCTGCCTACAAAGCTAGGCCTGGAGAACTGGAGAATGGAGCTCTGAAGCCAACATGGCGTCCCACAGTGGAGAGGTGTGGTTGAAGCTGGGGGAATGGGTGAGATGGCTCCCTGGGAACAGGAAGTCAGAGGCGAAGAGGGCTGGTGTGAGAAGGAGCATCTAGAGAAGTAGGAGGTGAACAAGAGAGGATGGAACCCAGTGGGGAAACGGGCACTGGTGTCTAAGACCCAAACCCACATGATTAGGAACCAAAGCCTGCTGTGGACCTTCACAGGAAGGTCAAGTGGTAGGAACTGGGTCCAGGTTGCTGCTGTTCAAAGGGAGGGTCGTTCAATTAAAGGCAACTCTTCCGAGATGGCTGTGCAGGAGGAAGTGGAACTGCTGAAGCCCTTTGTCCTGGCCTGTGGGAGGCCAAGGGACCGGGAGGCCTAAAATCCAACCCAGAGACCCAATCACCAAAGCGAAATCATCCTGGAAGGCCAGTGGATGGTTTTCTGACAAAGGTGCTCAATGGCCTAGGCCTGAAGAGCAGAGCTAGAGCCAGAGGTCTTCTTGTTGGTATTATTTCTTTTTTTTCTCCCCGCCCCCGCCCCTGGATTGTTTCTTTTTTTTTTTTTTTGAGTTGGAGTCTCACTCTGTCGCCCGGACTGGAGGGCAGCGGCCGCTCTCGGCCTCCGCAGCCTCGACCCGCTGGGCTCCGGCGATCCTTCCGCCTCAGCCTTCCGAGTAGCCGGAATTACAGGCATGCGCTATCACGCCCAGCTGATTTTTTTGATTTAGTGTAGAGATGAGATCTCTCTGCCCAGGTGGGTCTCGAACCCGCGGGCTCAGGCCATCCCCTCACCTCAGCCTCCCAAAGGCGCGGGTTGCCAGGCTGAGCCACCCAGCCCGGCTTGGATTGTTTCTTATCTGCATCCTTTCCCTAGCTCCATGAGAGCAGCATCTGTTCTGTCTCAATCATGCCACAGGAATGGTACCTGGCACAGAACGAGCATAGGAAACCGACGTTAAATGAACCAATGGGATGCAGTCAAGGGAAAGGCTCTGTTTTGTTTTGTCTTTCTGCATCTGCTTCAGATGAGAGACTCAGCCATGTGTACAGATTGTGAACAAGGGCCCCAAAGGAAGGGAGAAGTGAAGGCAGAGTTGAGAGAGAGGAAATAATTGATGAAATGAGAGGCTACAGAAAAAAACAAGAAGATAAATCAAGAGAACCTCTGGAGAAATGTTAAAAAAAAAACTGAATCATCTTTTGGGAAATTAATCATTCAGCCATTCAGTGGTGAGTATCTTGGGTTGTCCTGGACCCTTCAGAAGATGGGGAACATTTTGGGGGATTGGATGGATACCAAAGAAAACCCAAGATATATTCCCTAACATCTGCTCAAGGTGACACCATCTGGTTAAAGAGTCTTTTATGAAAAAAAACCCAGCAGTGAAGCACAGCAAGAACATTCACCGGAGTCTGAATAATAAAGAAAGATTTGAAAACAGTGAGCTAGGAGAATATCCAGAGGCGTTGCTGCAGAGCGGGAGAGGAGATCCAGACAAGGAAGTGAAGAGAAAAATGGGAGAATATGGGCTCTGGCTGAGTGTCCTGGCAACGGGCCTCAGCGCTGGCTCCAGACCTGGGCCGGCTCCATTTATTTTCAAATGGATCAGGGCCTATGCCAGTGGGCCCAGCAGGAAGCAGTAGAATCGAGAAGGACACTTTCCTGATCATGAATGTGCCTGGGCATGGAAACCCTGGCTGTTTTTCAATGAGTCCAGCAACAAGGCCGGGACCAACTGAATAAAATGATGAGAAGGAGAAATGGACATTGTTTTCAGATGTCAAAATACGTAACATGACACAGTTACCTCTTTAACCTGATTGTTTTCTTTGGAGGCTAGGATAACCTATTTTCCAGCCAAATCAAGAGCAAAACCACACACACACACACACACACACACACACACACACACACACACACACACGAACCCAGGTGTTCTACTAGCCAAAGCCATCTAAGGGAGTAGTCAGTACAACCCATGGCAGGGACACAGAGATGCAGTTTCTGCTTCTGCTCAGGTAAGTTTCAGAAAATAAATAGGAGCGAGTGTCCAGAAACCCCAGGTTCCTAAAACACGAGGAGCGCGGGCTTCGGGTGGCCGTGTCCTTCCTAATCACGAATCTCTCTCATCTCACTAACGGCAACAGTTCTCCGCCCATTTTTTTCTGAGGTGATTTGAGGCAATAATACAATGTAATAAATTTATTATACACCTTTTTCTTACTTTTTGGCATAAATTGGATTTCATTTGCTTTGTCTTGGTTTTGCACTGCTGTTCTTTTCAAATGAGCACAATTAGTGCAGAATATACGTGCACTGCTCTCCCTTGTCAGTCATATCTTGTCGTCCCAGGGTACACACTCCAGGGAACAGCACATCCTTCAGGGGTATGCCTACAGGACTCCCTTCCCGCTAAGAATCTCCATTTCATTTCTCCCCTTCTAGGGCTGAAGCACTTACTCAGAGCTTCCCTCTCATTGTTAATCCTGTTTTTCCGCTGGTAGAATTGCACAGACTTCCACCCACAGAATGTGGTGCTAGGCAGACAAAACATCTATCATATTTTAGCTCATGTTTGGCATTCAGTCAAGAAGATGGAGCTGTGAGCCACCCAGAAATGCCAACTGGAATTCATTTTACGCTACCAGAGAGAGAGAGAGGGAGAGAGAGCAAGCACGGAGCAACTCTTAGCCTCAAAGTGTCACAGATAGCCCTAGGCCCCAACACTTACATATTTCTTTCCCTCAACATCGAACCGGTACACTTGGTAATGAAATGCTGGCGGCTTCTTGTTTACTATCACACAATAAGGAGGAAGCTTCTATGTGTAGGCTCCGGGCTTAGCCACTCTCTGAAAGCAAGTGGAAACAAGAAACCGGCTTGTCCTGGCTCTTTGCTTCTGGTCGTTCCTTCACCTGCATCCTGGTCAATATAAGGCATAATGGCACCATTCCAAAGTGGCGACACATATTGAGCCCAGGCATTGGCGGCCACGGCTGTGTGGGTGGTGTCCCACACGTGCTCAGGTCCCTCTCTTTCCTGCATGCCTGTACACTTGTCCGACCACCCCTGGCTGTGAAGGGAAGATGAGGTCTTGCAGCCCTGAGTGGCTTCATCTGCCCATGAAGGCCACCTTTCCCTTCCTTGTCCCTCTGTCTCAAGGGAATTCTGTGTTTTCCATCGTCACATGCAGGGTTCCATTCTCTGGTTTCAGTTTGTGGCCACGGCCTTGCATCTCTGCTGTCCTAAAACACAGACTGACCCAGCTGCAATCCCAAAAAGGCCACCTGCGGACCTC